TTATTCCTCTTCATCCTTCAGACCCCAGGGCACCTTGCTTGTTTCCCTAACAGAAGCATTCTACCTCTTACTTACTGTGTGACCTTAGGCAAGTTACCTTTGCTTCACCTCTCTGAGCCCCACACCTCAGAGAGATAGCCTATGTTAAGCATTTAGTACAGTGCTCACCACACAGAAAATAGTTAACAGATCATCGCAGCTGTTATTGTTATTATACTATAATCTCCATCATAGCTCTTAACACAACAGGTGATTATTTATTTGTAGAAAAATAGAAACACCCCCTTGGATCCCACCTTACTACCTAATAATACATTTCATGCTATTCCCCTACATACTGCATTTTTGGAGGGGAAATTGAAATGAATGTAGATTAGAATCCAGGTTGGCCTGACCCCATAGCCTGTGCTGGGTGCAAAACACCAAAGGCTTCCCTAACTCATGAACCTTGTCTTCTAAGAGCGGCAAGCCTGGGCAAGCCTCAGAGAAGATAAACAGATCTTCACATTCACATAGATCCCAAACAACTCCCAGGTATCTACTCCTCTGATCCTTAACCAACCTGGTATTCTAATCAACCCCTGTAAATCCCTTCAGTAGAACAATCTTCCCCTGACTGTGATGCTAATTTTTCTTACTTCCTTTCCACTGGATGTTGAGCTCTTAATGGGATGAATATCTTTCACCTCTTATACCCCGTAGCAAATGGAAGCACTCAACACATGATTGCTGAATTAATTAGTTAAAATGTTGGAGAATATATTATGGCTGCAAAGTTGGGAGGTGGTGGAGTGTATTTTCCTAACAGTATTAAAGTTTGGCATAGTTAGGAACAAACTTGACAGGAATGATGACAAAAGAGTTTATCTTAATCACTTTACAACTGATGATTTCTATATCCAGCACCAGAGATTCCAATGTGATTTACAAATGTGTTTTTTGGTGGTAGGTAAACTTCACTCTATCTGAGGCCCTACATCACCCAAAATGTTCTGCTATACCCTGCAGCTGCACCTGACCCACCCTTCATGACAGGATGCCCTTGACAAGTACGAGTCTCTCAATGGTTACTCTTCAATTGTTCAGAAAAAGAAACAGAAAGCGCAAATGATAAAGCAAATGGGAGCAAATTGTTAATAACTGGTGACCTTGGGTAAAAGGAGTACAGGAGTTCTTTGTATTATCCTTGCAACTTTTTTTGTAATTATATCGAAATAAGTTTTTAAAATTTAAAAAAGAATAACATTAATAATTTTCCCAGGAGATTCCAACACACAGGTCTACAGTACTGGCCACGCTGGTACTATATTCTCTTGTTAGTTGTTCCAAAAAACACACTCCAGGCTTGGATTTGTCTATCAGCCAATATCAAAGGACAAGTAACTCCTTGGGTAGCAGGGCTCAGCCATGGTTTCTGGGTTGTGGCAAAAGATTAAATTACTGCTTGAACAGTATTAATGAATGCACTGGTATCTCCTATTGGTCAAAGCCCCAGTTCTATTTCCCCACATTCAGCTCCCAACTTTCTTCAGTCGATTGCCCTCTGAGTTCTTACTCTCCTTTTCCCAAACTTAGTTATGCGGTCAAATTCTCTCCAGAACCCTTCTTTCTCACTGTCCCCTAAGAGAAGCACAGAGGAAGTTCTGATGGTAAGAGCTTTGCTATTGTCTATGGAGAGACCTCCAGGATGGAGGCAAAAATAACCATAGGGGAGTCACAAAGATTCCAGAAAATAGAAAACTCAAAGCAGTAGTTACTTGGTCTGTAATGACCACTTGCTAGCATCCTTTTATTCCTTTATCGCTTCTACTCACTCATCCTACATCTTCCCCACCCGACAAACCTGAGTGCTTCAGCTTTCCCAGCCACTGGAACAGGTAGAAACCTGTAAACCATTCGAGTGTCCCCATATTAGCTATTTCAGGAGAGTGCCAGATGGGTGTCACCCAACACCCACCCCTCACCTACAACATAAGTAAAGGTTATAGTAAGTTATCCCCTGATGAGAGATTTTCTTAATGTAAGCCAGCATATGATCTCTTCCTTCTTCAGCTGTTTTGTGTCAGCTCCATGAGGAGGTAGGTATATTATATCCTATGATAATACTCAACCTGTGTCCCTGATCAAGGCTTATAAGAGCCCTCTATGATGCCATGTCTTTACAAACACCTGATGCCTCCTGCTTCCCCAACTTCCCCACAGACACCTAGTTCTAGCTAGACCTCAAAGTAGTGGGCAAAGAAATGGCTTTGTGTAACTTAGGAGAGAAATGGGTTGCTATGGCTGTTAGAACACAAGTGAAGGAAAAAACAAGCATTATCAAAGAAAAGGATCATACCAACCTACAAGCCTTCAACATCCTTCGTTCCTTAACCTTCACTAACCCATATGTCTCAACTCTGATGAGAACCCTACACCATCATCTGTCCTGCTCCTGAGAATCTCCTCCACAGGCCAGATGGTGGGTCACAGGCGCCCCTAAGGCTACTTTCAAGTCACTCCTGGCTCCCAGCTGATCACAAACACTTTAGAAAGTAGTGGGAGGCCCTTCTCCACTTTCCCTTACCTGTGACCAAGATTCACAGGCTCCTACCAGTGAGAAGGCCAATGCACAGCAAGATGGCTCAGAAAACAAGGAGACAGAAAAGTGTGGGTTCTAGAACCCCTGAGTATTCCATAATTGTTTGAACAAATAATGCAACAAACTGTTTCAAGGCAACCATATTGGTTTAAGAGCTCTTTGCTAACAAAAACTGTAAAGAGCACACCTAAAGAAAAGGTGGCAATGATGGTAGCTCACACTAACTTAGAAGCACTTCCGAAAGATCTCATGTAATCCTTTCACCCGTAGAGATATTATCCTGTTACAGTTCAAGTATTTAAGCTCAGAGCTCACTTTAAATGGAAAAAAAAAATGTTATGGAGGTAGAAGACTCCTAGGCTAAACAAAAAAGAAAAGAAAAACCATCTATTTCCACTTATCCAGAGAGTAATCATATGATGCTATAAAAGCATGAGAACTACACTATTCAAAGAGTACAGAGGCTGGGATCCACATTCCCATTGTTTACAGATGTTATGAAAGTATTAAATTAAATAAAAACACAATGCTTTGTTCAGGCCGACTCCTTTCTCACCCCCCTCACCCCCATCCCTAGGCTCACAAGAAGTGGCTTGAGGGAAGGTATTTAAGAGGAGAACTACTAGGGGAAAGTGGATTCTGGGTTGCTTAAAGTAAGCCAAGATGTTGCGCAAGCAGTCTTTACCTAAATTATTTTAAGAGTTTAGAGAGAAGCAGACAGTTATCTTTATCAGACCGAATACAGGGAATGAGGTCGTCTTTCCCTCCAGGCCACTGGAATCATCATCAACAAGGTTTTGATTTCTTATGCAATCAGACGGCGGAAGGGGGTGGGGGGCGCCGTGATCTCCTCAGCTTCGCAGATAAACGTATCAAAAAAATTTCGCGCACAGCTAAGGCCAAGGATTTCCTTGCAACCCCGAAAGTCAGAGAAGCGGCCAAAAAAAGTTTCTTGCCAAATGCTTAGGAGCTACATATATCCCAGGGCTACACAATGATACCAACTTTTAAACATGCCTTCACATACCACCATTACGGTCACTTACTCGAGATCCCGCCCCCTTTCTCTCCTCCCAAGTAATAAACGCAGGTTGCCCTGTGCAATTTAAAGCCAGACTTCTCCCAAGCAGCGGCTCTAAAAAGCGAGAGAGAAAGACTGGAGGGAGGCTATCTTTCTTTTTTCTTTCTTTCTCTCTCTCTCTTTCTCTTTTTTATTTTTTTTTTATTTTTATTTTTTATTGATTACCCCGTGGTGGAGGGAATAAAACCAACACGATCGCTGGAGAAAAGTTAACTTTGCCAAGTCCATCGGTGGGAAAATTTCCTCTGAAGATTCGAAAGCTCTCCCGCTTTTCCCACCCCCGGGACCGCCGGGCACTCGGTGGTCTCGGCGGCCCCGGATCAGCAGCGCCCAAACAATGACGCTAGGGGGAGGGAAAGTTCACCAGCCCGCGGGGCCCCCAGGCTCACCGGGGACCTCGCCGCTCCCCGCACCGCCAAGGCCCTCTCTCCAGGCACTCGGTTCTTCCCGCCCCCCCAACATCGAAACAGCCAGGGCGCGCCCTCGCTCCCCAGAGCATCTGATCCCAGGCGGCCCGCAAAGCAGGTCCTCCCGCCGCGGATCTGACCCCGTGCGCCCCGAGAGCAGGCAGAGGACAGGGAGCGAGGGGGGCGTCGGAAGGGGGTTACTGGAGGGAACCGCTGCAACAGTTATGGCGCTCCACGCCTGCCCGAGTGTGGCTGCAGAGGAGCTCCGGCGCCCGTCCCCGCCCCCAGTGCGGACCACCGCCG